CATTCAAGGCTCCGCCGGCCCTGGCCCCAGGTGACCTCTCCAAATGGTCTCCCTCCCACCACTCCTGGCCCCAGGTTCCAGCCTTACCAGAACATTCACTGTTCCCCAAAGCCCGGTGTTCCTTCCTGCCTCTGTGCTTTTGCTCACACTGCCCCTTCTACAAGGCCCCGTCTTCCTCTCGCTCTATCCCCGCTCCCTGGGCCATCTCATCCACACCTACGGGCAGATCACACCCACCTGCTCCTCCTGTGAACCCAGATATGTCCATTCAAAGGCCTGTTTTGCATTGTCTAAAGGCTTTTCGGGGGGCACTGCAATGTCCAAAACAGGACTGTTCAGCCTTGTCCCCAAAATCATCCTGCCACTCCCTCGAGTGGTCCCCATCTCAGGAAATGGCACCACTGATCTCCCAGTTGCTGGGGCCCCAAAGCTAGGAAGCAGCTTCAACCCCTCTCCTAGTCTCACCCACTCCATGACTAAGGCCTGCAAACTCTGCCCCCTAACCAACCTTGGACCTGCGCACCCGGATCTGTCGGGAATAACTGCAGCCCGTTCTCCACCCAGCAGCCAGAGGGAGCCTCTTAAAAGGTAAATCTAATCATGTTTTTACTTTGCTTCAAATCCGTCAATCTCACGTTAAGGGCTCTCCATCTCAATCAGAGCAAATCAAAGCTCCTGTCCACGGCCTACAAAGCCCTACATGAGCTGGCCTGAGCCTGCTGTACTGCTCCGTGTCTCCAGATTTTCCTACATGTTGCCACTGTTGGCAGTGACCTTCCTGCCCTTCTGGGTGGCTCCACTTTACCCCTCAGGCCTTAGTAGAACGTACTGCCGCTCCCAGCCCGGGAAGGGTTAAGGGCCCATTCTTTCTACTCCCAAGACCTCTGCGCTGGACTCAACCTCACTTCCGGCTTACTGCTTTGAAATTTGCTGTCTCCTTCCACTGGTCCCCTGGTTCTCAACCCTAGTGACATGATAGGATCATCAGGGAAGCCTTCTTTCTTTTTAAATTGAGGTAAATTTCACCCTCTTCGAGTACACAATTCAGTGGCATTTAGTACATTCACAGTATTGCGTGACAATCACCTCTATTTACAATACTTCCAGAATATTTCCATCATCCCCAAAGGAAACCCCAAACCCATTAACACTCACTCCCTAGTTCCCCTCCCCCAGCCCATGGCAACCATGAATCTCCTTTCTGTCTCTATGGATTTGCCTATTCTGGACAATTCATACAAATAAATCACATAATATGTGACATTTTGCGTCTGGCTCCTTTCACTCAGCATAATGTTTTCTCGGCTTATCCATGCTGCAGCATGTATTAGAATCTCGTTCCTTTTTATGGATGAATAATATTCCATTGTATGGATGCACCACATTTTTTTTTTGAGTTTAACTGCATTTTATTTTTAGACAACCTACGTGACATGTGTTTTTTTTTCTCAAAAACAATGCCTCCGGGCTTCCCTGGTGGCGCAGAGGTTGAGAGTCCGCCTGCCGATGCAGGGGACACGGGTTCGTGCCCCGGTCCGGGAAGATCCCACGTGCCGCGGAGCGGCTGGGCCCGGGAGCCATGGCCGCTGAGCCTGCGTGTCCGGAGCCTGTGCTCTGCAACGGGAGAGGCCACAACAGTGAGAGGCCCGCGTACCGCAAAACAAAAACAAAAACAAAAACAAAAACAAAACAATGCCTCCGCTCCCAACAAATCAACATCAAAACGAAGAGCTCAGGATGACATCAGTCCCACTCGTCTAAGTCCTGGTGTTGTGTGGATGAAAAGCAGCAGCCAGCCTGTTATGACGAGCAGGTGATAGATCCAAAGTAACAGCCAAATTTGTTAACATTTTTCCATTTCTAAACTGTCCTTAAAGAAAATCATATATGGGGTCACACCATCCTCACTGCAGTCCAGCAGAGCAGCCATGCCGTCTAGATTCATGTTTTCACCAATAAAGAACTGATAGTTTTTGAAATTAGCAAGGATGTGCTTGATTTGTCCAGTAGCCCCTGTCATAAAAGGTTTTCCTCTTTCTGGTCTCTGTTCTTCAAGCTTCCCTTTAATTGACTTTATGTAATCTTTGATGTACTTCTTGTTGGCTTCTTTTGTGAAGCTGCTTTCCTGCAAGTGATGGTTCATGACAATATCCACACCAGTGATTACTGTGCTTTCGGTGCCTTGTCCCTCGGGGCCTTCAGCGGAGGCGTTTCCACCAATGAACGAGTCATCAATGTTACCCTCTGTCCTACTGATCATCTTCCCCTCCACCCTCAGACACAGGCCGTCCTCGACCTCCTGGATCTTGTAGATATCGGAGAACATCTCATCATGGCTGATGAGGTCCTGGTAGATGATCATAACGGCGACTAGATGGAGATGACGGCGGTGCTAGCTTAGTAGGAGCCCGGAGCTCAGAGCGAGTGCAGTGCAGCTGGAGTGGTGCTCAGGGGGAGGGGGGAGAGGGTGGAAAAAGGGATGCACCATATTTTGTTTATCCGGTCATCAGTAGATGGATATTGGGTTATTTCCAGTTTGGGGCTATTATGAGTGATGCTGCCGTGAGCATGTATGTAAAAGTTTTTGTGTGGGTATGTGTTTTCATTTCTCTTCGGTCTACATTGAATTGCTAGGTATCAGGGAAGCTTTTAAAATTATCCCCTGCCAGGAACCACTCTGAGACTTTGATGTGCTTGGCCAGGGTGGGGTAAGGCACTAGTGTTTTTCTAAAGCCCCCCCTGGTGATTCTAATACACAGCAAAGGCTGAGAATCACTGACTGAGACCATGACTGGCCAAACCAGGGCCCCGGGGCCAAGGGTCGCTTACTGCCTGTGCTCACATGGGCTGCCAGCTAAGAATGCTTGAAAAAAATAAAAAAGAAGAATATTTTGTGACACGTGCAATGATGCAACATTCAACTTTCCATGTCTATAAGTAAAGTTTTATTGGCACACATAGTCACACCCATTCATTTACCTATTATCTATAACTGCTTTTGTTATAGACAAGGGCAGAGTTAAGTAGTTGTGACAGAGACCGTATGGCCCACCAAGCTGCAAATATTTACTATCTGGTCTTTTACAGAAAAAGTTTGCTTGCATCCATTCACAGTCCTCTCATACTTGGTCTTTCAGCAGCAGTCGGCACCGTTGATCACCCGACTGCTTGAGACACTTTCTTCACTTGACAGCAAGAAACCCGCTCTCTCCTGGAGCTGCCTCTCTGGGGCTTGGGGAAGCCCCATGGGGGTGGATCCGGGTGCCCAGTGTTTGAGAGCTGGGCCACTTCCACCCCTCATATGGGCACTGGTGGGGGTGTGTGTGAGGGTGAGAGCAAGGTGTTAGGAGATCACTCGGAGGCTTTGGGCAGCTCACTGTCCTTCTGGGTTGGACAAGACTGTCTCTGAGGTCCCTTGCAGTTCTGAGTTCTCTGGTGGTCATAGAGCCAAGCACTGTCACCTGTATCACCAGTTCTCCCAGCAACCCAATGAGGAGGGCGCCATTTCTATCATTATCACAATTTTACAGAAGACACAACAAATCTTCAGAGAGGAAAAGTGACTTTGGCCAGGTTGCCCAGCAAGTCTGTGGCCTTCAAACTCAAGTCCAGCCCACCTCACCCTGTCTAGCAGGATGGATGTACCAAGTGCCTATTGTTTAAGCTGATGAGATCTCAGAGAACTTGGGGTTTCTGGGGAGGGCACACTGGCAGGTGGTGGCTGGGGCAGCTCTATGTTGTGGATGTGGGCAGCTGTGAGTGGGACGCAAGATGAGAAGAATAAATTCTTGAGAGGCCTTGGGCAATGCGCCCAACGCCGTGATACGTACTTGACTAAGATCATATTTGCTAATTTAAATACTCTGTGAGGGAGGATTAGTTTTTCTGTGGCTACTGTAATGAATTCCCACAAAGTCTGGTAATTTGGTAAAACAACACAAATTTCTTCTCTCCCAGTTCTGGTGGTGAGAAGTTCAAAGTCAAGGGGTAGACTCCTTCCTTGCCTCTTCCAGCTTCTGGATGCTGTCAGGCAATCTTTGCTGTTTCTTCGCTTGTAGGTGCATCACTCCAATCTCTGCCTCTGTCTTTGCACAGCCTTCTTACAAAGACACCGGTCCTTGCATTTAGGGCTCACACTAAATCCAGTATGAGTGCATCTGGAGATCCTTAGCTAAATTACATTTGCAAAGACCGTATTTCCAAATAAGATTGCATTCTGAGGTTCCTGGTGGATATGAATTTTGGGGGACACAATTCAACTCACTACAGGGGGAAATATTATTCTCAGTCTACAGATGAGAAAGCTGAAGCCCACTCTCATGACATGAGAGCAGTTACCCCCTTAGTTAATAGCTCCTTAGTGACTTAGGAACCAATGCCCAGTCCCGTATTATTTTAATGCCTCAGTTCTCATAGACAGGAAAAAAAAAGATAAACAAAAAACCCAAATCACCTTTACCTTACATTGTATACAAATAATACCTCAAATTAGATCAAAGACCTAGACTTGAGAACTAAAATCTATAAAACTCTTAGAAGAAAACATTGGTCAAATTCTTCATGATGTTGGATTTAGAAATGACTTCATGACTCTGACACCAAAAGCACAGGTAACAAAAGAATAAAGGTAAGTTGGACTTCTTCAAAATTAAAAACTTTTGTGCGTCAAAGGACACTATCAACAGAGTGAAAAGGCAACGACCTACAGAATGGAGAAAATATTTACAAATTGTATATCTGGCAAATGATTAATATAAAGAACTCCTGCAGCTCAACAACAAAAAAAGACAAGCAACCCAATTAAAAAATGGGCAAAAGCCTTGGAAAGACAGTTCTCCAAAGAAGATATACAAAGACAGTTAGTACATGAAAAGATGCTCAACACTACTGTTATTAGGGAAATGCTAGTCCAAACCACAATGAGATACCGCTTCACACCTACTAGGATGACTATAATTTTTTTTAAAAACTGAAAATAATAAATGTAGACAAAGGTATGGAACACTAGTACATTGCTGGTGGGAATGCAAAATGGTGTAGCCATTATGGAAAACGGTCTGGCAGTTCCTCCAAAAAATCAAACATAGAATTACCATATGATCCAGCAATTCCATACAGATACATATATAGATAGATATAGATAGATAGCTATAGATATAGGTATATCCTGAAGAATTGAAAGCAAAGACTCAGTTACTTGTGTACCCATGATTACAGCAGCCTTATTCACAATAGCCAAGAGGTGGAAGAAAACCCAAGTGTCCACTGACTGATGAATGGATAAACAAAATGTGATCTATACTCACAATGGAATACTATTCAGCCAAAAAAGGAACAAAGTTCCTACACCCGAAACTAACACAACATTGTAAATCAACTACACTTCGATAAAAATAAAAAGGAACAAAATTTTGATAGGTGCTACAACATGGATGGACCTTGGAGAGTTATGCTTAGTGAAATAAACCAGATACAGAAGGACAAATATTGTATATGGTTCCACTTACAGGAAGTATCTAGCTGGAATAGACTAATTTATAGAGACAGAACATAGAATAGAGGTTACCGTGAGTTGCGGGTTGGGGGAAAGGGAAGCTATTATTTAATGGGTAGAGTTTATGTTGGAGATGATGAAAAGTTTTGGGTATAAATAGTGGTGATGATGGGCTTCCCTGGTGGTGCAGTGGTTGAGAGTCCGCCTGCCGATGCAGGGGACACGGG